ATTTAGCCAGGGATCTTGGGACAAAACACAATGTCTACCCAAATGAATACTTATTTACATAATTTACCATGTAGCAAGATCTCAAGCTACATGAGTGCTTATTTATTAGAGATCTCAATGCGTAACAAAAAGTCAATGATGTGTAGCTTATTTATTAGGAATCTAAGTCCATGAGATGGTATCAATTCAATTATCAAAATATATAAATAAAATGCCCCGTGCATTTGAAAAATATAAGAAAAAGCACCCTGCATTATCTAGGGGGTGCAAACGAGTCGAGTCGAGCTCGAGTCAAGAGGAGTTCGAGCTCGACTCGTCAGCCTAATACCGAGCTCGAACTCAAGCTCAAACTCGAGTCGAGCTCAAAAGTCGAACTCGAGCTCGACTCGCGACATATAAACGAGCTATCGAGCCGCTCGTCGAGCCGATCGGTTTCGATTTCCCGCCCTCCATACACGTTTTCCCGCCCGGTTTCTCGGTGAGTGAGCCAGCAACAGTGCAGACTGCGGACGCCTCGTTGCACGCGGTGTTCTTTTTCCGATGGATAAAAACAGATGGCAAGCTTTTTTATTTTCTCTTTTGTAAACCTATGACACCGACTTCTTTTGGAAATATTTTTTAACTGGAGCAATTAATGCTGTGCTGCAAGACTGCAACTTCTATTAAAACATTTAAATCTTACGCCTTGGAAACTGTTTTTTTAATAAACTAATACAACAATGTATTTTTTTAAAGATTTAAAATTAATAAAATAGTAATTACTTAATTTTTTTTTTAAATATTAATATTTATTCGAGCCTGCTCACGAGCTCACGAGCCGAGCCTCATGAAGCTCGAACTCGAGCTCGTTTACTAAACGAGCTCGAACTCGAGCTCGAGCTCGACTCGTGAGCTCGATAAGCTCGGCTCGCGAGCCCATAAACGATTCGAGCTCAAGCCGGCTCGCGAGCCGGCTCGGCTCACTTACACCCCTAGCATTATCGTGGTGGGGGGTTGGGAGGATTCTAAAGGCTTCTTTCCTGTCTTTTTTTGCCTTCTCTTTGATCTTTTTTTTAACACCTCTTTTTAATCAAAGATCCCAACATAATATTCAGTGCCTACACAAATAAGTATAACTTTAAAGAGGAACTTGACATGACACATGATATGAATTAGATTCAACCTCATCAAGAGATCTTGGCACAAAGTATAATGTCAACCTAGATAAAACGAAAAGCTTTTTAGATAGAGACCTTATAGCTCAAGTGATGGTTTGAAGCCAAATACCTAAATTGTGTTCTAATGAAGATTGACAGAGTGACCCATCTTAAATGAGTGGTTTCTTTAAAATTTTATAAGATGTCTCAAAATGAACCTAATTCTCTTTTTGTTAGGTGTTTGAGATCATGTACACATTTACTTGTACTCATTTAGGAAAATGTAATCGTCCATAGACTGTTATCACTATGGCAGACTATCACATTGTAAGGAGCTCATTAAGTCAAAAAACGTTGCATTAATATTTGTAATATAAAGTAGAGATCTCTTCAATTACACTTTAAAAGGGGAATGCATTGCTATTTTTGATCATGATATGCTAAGCGTTTATTCAGAAGAACCTATAATGAATGGACTTGAATTTGGCGGTTCTTGATAAATTCTTTGTGATAGCTTGTGTAGTAAACAACAATCAATATCCATAAAATGCTGCTACTTTAAAATTCGCCCAAAATTTGGTATTTTTTTATTGGTAGGTGATTCTCTTTAAGAATATATGAAAATCAAACTTGAGATCTAGGAGGGACTTTGAACTAATAATTCAAATTAGAAGAAAATCGTGATAATCAGCAATATTCTTGATTTATGCTAAGAGGCTTGACGAATCTGATCAACATCTTTGTGGGCTCCAAAAATATGCGCCCCGGTGTGGGCTCCGAAAATTTGGCCCCGGCCTCCCCCGCTACTTTTCTTAGGGGGAGTTTTAACGGAATTAAGTTCTGGGGTAAATTTTGGAAGGTAGATAGATTTGTAGATAAGACACCATCCAGAGGTTTAGCCCTCATTTTGCGAGGACTTTATGATCTGAGTTCTGGTTTCCTATAGGCACAAGCCCCTATAGTTAATTACAAGAGAAAACTTTTGATTAAGGCTAGTCATCGATCATATACATATAAATGTGTTATCTGGCATATAGTAGAAACATGGGCTTAGAAATTTGGAGATTTCATATTTAAAATAGAAATTTCACCATCTTACACTTAAAGCAAATGGTGGGGGAATGAATGATGGACCCGATCAAGATCCCATGGTTCCGTCGTCCCTGGCCATCGTGGTCCCAAGTCTACTTAGTCAGAGGAGATAGTCGACACAACCTGACAGAAGGATCCTTGTCGGCAACCATGAGTTGCTTTGTCCTATGGTACCTTGTAGACCTGGGGTGGATGTTTGACTAAGGGGACAAATTTGAATCCACATTAGCTAACAGAGTGTTTTGTACCCTATCAATTATATCATATTAATTCATATATCAAGGATTTGATGCCACTAAGGAAAGCATTGGCTCTAGCCATAATCGTAATCTCATAGTGCCATTTGGCGGCAAAACCACTCGGTTCAGAAGGCCCCGAGTCATAATTGTTTATACAGCGGTGTCATTTAGAGGAAAAACCCCCGGTCATAGGACACATACCACATCCTTAATGGCAGAAGATTATTTTGAGAATGAGTTAAAGTGATATTCTCGACTAGACATTAGCTTTTTGTGAGTTGAAGTGATTTTTAATTTGCCCATCTATGCAAACTATTGCGGATGGTGGATAGATTTTGCTTTAAGTGATTTGATGGATAATTTCAATTTTAAATATTATGGATTTGGATGATCTTTGGGATTTTGAATTTACAGGTATTTGGGATGTCATTTTGAATTTTGGAGTTAACCCCTCCGGTTAAGACCTACGTTCAACACGGGCATCATCGGGGTGACTTTGAGGTCACTTGAAAATGTTTGAATTTTATGAAAGTTTGATGGCATTTTGAAATATTTGAAATTGACCACTCCGGTTGAGATCTGCATTCAACACGACCATCATCAGGGTGACTTTGAGGTCACTTGAAAAAAATTAAATTTTATGGAAGTTTGAGGGCATTTTGAAATATTTGAAATATTTGAAATTGACCCCTCCAGTTGAGATTTGCATTCAACACGGCCATCATCAGGGTGTTTGGGGTCATTCCATTTGTGGATTGAACCTCATCGACTCTACCAATTTGTTGACAGAGGACCGGGTTCGTTGTTGGCTCTATGATTTTGTTAATGAAATTTCTTTGTTGGAGACCTTGAAGGCCTTATATGAACGTATAAAACAGATTGGCCAATGATTGGCCAATGTAATAAACATTGTAGCTCCATTTTCCCTAAAAGAATTGTTTAGTAGAAGTTCATCTAGAATCATTCCTTCCAATTGTGATGTCACTCTATCAATTGGTCCATTAAAAACTAAATATGCATCCCACTCAGACGTTTGACATACACCTACATGGTTATCAATGTTGATAATTTGATCATTTTTGTACATGCAAGCATGAGTGTATTCACATATCAAGTCATTACAGAAAATCTCAAAATTATTATGGTTAGCTGTCCTCCTACTATTGCAGTGATCATTATTATTGTCATTAGATTCAGTCACATTATGCATTGCTTCATGGACTTCATCAACATGATCAAGGTCGTCTGCAGTCCCTCATGTCTCAAAACTACCTCAATAGTTACGTAGGAATGGGGTGTTGGATTAGTAAAGAGCATCGCTTGGGAACAAGAGAACCAAGACAAGACTCAAAAAGCTCTTAGAGTTGGCAATTAGAGGATGCGGGTAAGAGACCTTTTCGAGGAAAATGTTGGCATAGAAAATTCTGTTGTTTCCCTACGCCTGACATTGGTTCCAAGGAGCATTTTTAAACGTATTTCTTGAGTTGATCATGGAAAATGCACAAGAAATGGGGAAACAAACTTCATAGAAATTATCCACACAAGCCACGGATCAAATAAATGAAGAATATATCTGAGCAAGTTCATGTTATACCTAGCGTAAAAATATAAAAATATCGGTGTTTATAAAAGAACACATAACAAGCAGCATACCACTTCTAAGTTTACTTGAAATGGTTTTATAAAATCTTCAAACATCACAGGACCCAGGTGCTTCATCCTTTCCTTGACTTCCTGAACAAAAGAAAAAACAGAGATAAGAGAACTAGATCCAAACTACTGTTAGGAAAGTACAAAATGAGATTCCAACGCTGAAATCATTGCATAAAAATTTAACAAATCAATTAATTATGGAAGCCGCTCAGGCTACTGCAAAAATTAACAATGTAGAATCATATACTAGAATCATATCATAACAAGAAAAAATATTTTCATAAGTATAATTCTCCAAAAAGCAAGGAGTTCACCATGCAATAAAAATTAAAAAAAAAACAAGGGAAATGGAGTTCATCGTATGTAAAAGAATTAAGATGATGTAGCAACTGTCACACCTCAATTATCATCTGCCCTCCTATAGTCTTCTATTTTGCCAAACCAATGATTTTACAGGAAGGCCTTGTTGGAATTGGATCATTAAATTTTAGGATGATCTAGTGGCCGCGTGGTCAATTTTTTTTTAAATTTTTTAGGAGGTATTTGTTTATATGTAATGCAATAGTTTCAGATCTTATAATAATAATAATAATAATAAAGGGAGTTTAATTTGATGTATCTCTAACATTGAGGTTTAGCATTAATAACTAATTGTGCTGATCTAGACAGAGGAGCTATTTTGAATGCTATCAAGAAAACCTCAACCTATGGCTAAAAGAAGAGAGATAAAACAAAAGTCATAATCGATGTTAACAGATCTAGATAGCACCATAATTTTCACATTGCAATGGATAGATCTTTACTATCTAAATCTTACTATTACATAAAAAACATTTAAATAAAGATCAGAGTGAATCAGACAAGCCCTCAATTTCTGTGGCCATTTTTAGGTTTTTATTGAACTCTCGCTGTTGGTGTATGGTGTTCGTGAGTGGGGCCATCTTTAGCATTTTTTGCTGGAATTTCTAATTGCTGGTGTATGGGGTTCATATGTGTCAGTGTGTGCCTTTTTAATTTTTTTTAAATTTCCAGTTGTTGGTGTAAGGGGGTTGTATATCTGCGTGTATAAAATGGGCGAGGAGGGAGTGAGGGAGTAAGGATAGTCAGAGAGAGTGAAATGCAAATCCGCTCTGCTCTCTATAATCCTTTCTTGGCTTGTCTAAAAAGTAACCAATAAAATTTTATGCAGCAATAAAACTGCCAATTGTGCCATTAATATAAAGGTTGGCAACCATTATGAGAACCTGTTTCCAGTATAAGTTCTTACATTCTCTAACATTTGTATGAGTTTAATTGGAGAGAATTAGGGTATGCTTTTCTTTTAGAAATATGACTGTTTTACAGTTTTTTAGATTAATTAAGGAATGAAATTTGACAGCATTTAAGTCATTCATAGCATCTACCTATTGATCTAACTTGTCGGATTGCTCCAAGCTATGCACATATAGTTCTTCTTCCCTTCCCCTCCAAGTACATGCACGCGGGTTTTCTTGAGGGACACGAATCAAGCTACAATGTCAAATCCTTAGATTTCTTTGTCACTATTTCTCCTTTTTATTTGAAATCTTCAATATTTTTTTCACACGTTCTATTTAGTGAAATATTTTATAGTTTAAAGTCAATCTATTGAATAACTTTTAAATAGACCCTGATAAGCATATTTCAATATGAACTGACTCTTCTCCCAGGCCAAGACAACCCAGTTTAGTACAACACAAACAAGGCAGTACGAATACAACTAAAGATCAACACCATAAAAGCCTTCTCCAATTCAAATCTCAATGAGATACGCAATTATGAAATAAAACACAATCAATACAACTATTTCGAAACATTAATCTTCTTATCTAGAAAATATATCATGATACAATGACTGGGCTACAGATGCCGAATTACTTTTAGAAACACCAACAGAAGAAACGAAGGCAAAAAGAAGGCCCAGTTCTTTTACATTTAAAAGACTTTAGACATGTTGAAGTTAGTAATTAATATGAAATGCTTATCCAAAATATAAGGAAAAATTAAAAATTAGAAACACATTATAGAAAATTGATTGCGTCATTGAACAAAGTTGAAAACGCTAAATATCAGCAGCTGAAATTACGACAATTTTATTGAACACAGGTTCTATGAAACCAAGGAAAGGCAAAAAGTTCAAGTTACAGTCTGGTCAAGCCTGATATAGCAAAGGTTTTCTGACATACACAGATGGCCAACAGAATCTTTTCCACCTTTCTAAGACCTGTTTGGTGTGATTGTTGTTATAGGCATGCCATATGCAATCCCATAAGACACTATTTCCAAAGGAGACATAAAGAGAATAACCTCTTTCACGGCGAAGATAAGCCCAATCAAATACGCTGAAATACAAACTACTTTTCACCTAATAAATTCACTCTGAATAATATTGGTTCATCTGCAATAATGTAATAAGTACACTGACCCAACTGTCACAGAAGCACTTGATCTTCCAGTTTCTTTTCTAGAAAAGAAATATGAAACATATGGACCAACAGAATCACCACAACAGCATAAAAATTTGTTGTATTGTGAAATATAAATACAGGCTGCTGGAAAGAGAGAAAATTGAATAACGTGTACGGAAAAATCTCAGTACTATTTACCAATCCGGTCATCCTCGAGTTCTCCATAAGTTCATTAACAATCATGTCAAGTATGTGTCTATTCCGGGCTATTCCAATGCTGGCAAATTCTTCAGTCTCTTCAATATACTGCCAAAGATTAGAAATACCAAATATCAAATAATATGGATGGAAAAAAATAAAAAACATACACAAAAGAAACTAATATAATCCATAATACAACAATACTATCCCTCTACATTAAAAAACAAAAATTTATAACACTGATAACTAGCCAAAATTATATATTTTTTAAAGTTCTTATCATGCATGTTATCTTCTTGCATTAATAGTTGTAAGCAACCGAAAATGAAAAGATTCCCAACTCATGCAACCATTGAGGGGGGACCACCAGCCTTTTGATCATAAATACTTCAACGACCCAAGAGAGATGGAGGAGAAATGGATGGTGGTTCAAGCGATCTCTACTTGGGGGTAACCTGGCTGGAGAAGCATCACAAGAAGATGAAGACTAGACCAACCATTAAAAAAGCGGACGAGGCATCCGCATTGAGTCGCGCCACAAGTCGAGGCGAAAGTCATGCGTATCGGGGCTTCCGCCTCGAACCATCCAGCGAAGCTTACGATTTTTTTCGCACGAGGCGTACGCATCGGAGTGTAACGCCTCGAGACAGTACGAGGCACCGCTTCGAAATTTTTTCTTCGGTATATATGTAAATACAACGCAGCTGATTCGTGTTCACGTATTCGCATATAGGATTAGGGCTTCCTGTGAGAATTGAAAGGCGAACTGGAAACGAAGCCGTTAGAGAAAGAGACGAAGCCGTGAGTGCAGGAGACGAAGTCGGAAGGAGACGACGCAGGAAACGAAGCCGAAAGCAATAACGGTTTCGAAAGCATGAAACGAAGCAGAAGTTGTGAGTGCAAGAAACGTTCAGGCCTCGGTTAGGTCGGAAGAGCAGGTGAGCGGTGTTGTGGGCCTTGACTTTGACGTGCAGTAACGAAAACTTGAATAACTCATGATTCAGCTTTCTTTCATTCGTCCACTCAATACAAGCTCTAGGTATATGCTCGGTACCGAGCCAGTACCGCTTGGTACCGAGCAAGTATGTGCTTGGTATTGAGCGGTACATGCTCGGTACCACTAGGTACACGCTCGGTACAGAGCCAATACCGCTCAGTACTGAGTAGTATATGCTCGGTACCGAGCGGTACATGCTCGGTACCGCTCAGTACTGAGCATATACAACAAGCAGAATTTCAAAATTACTTTTATAATAAAATTTTGTTACGGGGGCAGCGCCCCCTTGGACCCCCGGCAGACTGGTATATTGTTGTATTCATGTTGTCTTATTATTGGTAATACAAATAATTGTTAAAATCTGTCATATTTGATGTTGATTATTTATTTATATAAATTATTAGCATGACTAGTGGCACAAGAAGGAAAGATCTCGCATGAAAATATGGAACTCAAGTTGAAGTGTCAGGTGAATGTGCAAAGAAGGGATATGTTTAGATGAAATGTAATTTCTGTGAGAAATGCATAACCGGTGGCGTCAAGAGGTGCTTAGAATGGTTGATGGAGAGAGGGCCCTGGCGATGAGATTTATTTAAGAAGCAATAAATAAGACTAAAGAAGACATTGCAAAAGATTTGGCAGGTCAAGAAAGTGCCTACAAAGAAATATGGGATATTATAGATGAAAAGTGGGATCGTCAATTACACCAACACTTACATGCTGCTGCATACTATTTAAACCCTCAATTTCATTATGATAAAGAATTTCATATTGATAAAGAGGTGAAAACTAGTTTGTATGCATGTATGGACAGACTCATTTCTGAAGAAGACCACCTCAAAGTGAATGATAATCTTGAGAAATTTCATTTGAAGAAGGGAATGTTTGGATTTAGAGGAGCACAAGTATGCTACAAAACACGATCTCCTGGTATGTTTATAATTTGTATATTTATAATTTTAATTTTAATATTTATGTTCAAGTCATCTACTTCAATCAATATTCATAAAATACTATTAATTTTCTTATAGAACGTTGATGGAGTCAATTTGAAGATGATGTTCCTGAATTGAAAGCTTTTGCAGTTAAAGTACTTAACCTAACATGTTCGGCTTCTGCATGCGAGCGTAATTGAAGCATCTTCAATCAAATTCATACTAAGAGAAGAAATTGATTGGCGACAGATTGAGTGAACAAACTTATTTATGTTATGTTTAACAAAAAACTGAAAGATAGACATCTCAAATTACAGAAGCAAAGAAGCATTGATAATGAAATTGATCCTTTACTTGTTGATGATTTACAATCTCATGATGAATGGGTTACTCCAAAGAATGTTGATGTTTCTGAAGTTGAAGCAGAAGGAGAAACTTATGTCAATGAAGACATGAAATAACTACTCATGTATATAAAATAAAGAAACAAAGTGAGATTAGAACTTCAAAAAAATTCAAAGGTATTCTTAAATATAATGAATTATTTTTTATGCTATTATTGTTTCATTCTAGAGCTAATGAAATATTAACTGCTATAAGGGATAAAGAAAAAATATTATAGATGAAGAAGAATTTGAGAATGACTTTGACATTAATTATGAAGATTCTTCTGAAGAAAATCAAAGTGATGATGAGCCTGCATTTGGTCTTGATCCTAAAAGGATGGTTTATTTTTAAGTGAGTTTATTTTAAATCTTCTTTTCCAGTAATATACTAATATTATCTTAGAATAAATCATCAAATTCACAATTGACATAATATTTTATTATTTTTTGTCATTATTCATAATTTTAAATTATTTTATTTTTATCATTTTTGAGGCTTACGCCTCGATTCGCCTCGAGGCTTACGCCTCGCCTCGCTTAGCCAAAATGCCTCGATTCCCGATTTCGCCTTTTAAAACGTTGGACTAGACTATTAAAAAGATGACTCAAAGATTAAATGTTTGGATAGGAGGAGACAACCCAAACAACCGAGTAGTCGGGCTATCACTCCCTACAACTGCTAGAGCGGAGTGGAAGCTAAGGGCAAGTGGAATGAAGATGACTGTTAGAAAGTACTTGAAGATTTAAAGTAATCCCTAACAAGAGAGACAAAAACAGCAAAACACTCCATAAATTCGATGGGAAAATCAACAAAACGGTAATTTTTATTGAAGAAATCAAACTAACGGAAGAAATAAAGCAAGATACAATTGATCCTCAATTCGAGAGGAGGATCGTTCTCTCCCAATCCCTAGACGAATCTAGGGCCCAAGACACCAAGAACAAGAACTCCAAAATCAGCCACAAAACAAAGTATAACCCTAACTCTAAACATCTCCTCCTATTTAATACATAAAATAAAATACTTCATTCAAACTTTCCCTCCAACCCTAGCTGCCCCCTCTTTCCTTATTGAATTTAGTGGGGTCCACTAGGAGATTAGGTGGCAATCTCTAATGGCAGACTGGTTGGGTCCGCCTCCTATAAGTAAGAACCAGCCCAATGCTTTGGACTGACTAGGTCGGTTTAATAGAAATTGGCCTAAAAATATCGCTCTCCCAAAGAACCATCATATCCTCAATGTGAAAAGAAGGAAATTGATGCTTCACCCTCTCATAAGGCTCCCATGTCGCATCATAATCTGGAAGGTCCTTGCATCTGATCAATCCCTCCTTTACCCCTCCTCCTTGGCGCACCCCTTGTAACTCAAGGGGTTCCAGTATCACCTCCAAGTCCTCTGTTAACGTCACTGGTAGCTCAGAACTGACTGCATGCTCCCCAATTGTTCTCCACAGTTGTGAGACATGGAAAACATGGTGTATGGTTGTCGTTGAAGGTAATTTCAGCCTGCATTCCACCTCCAATCCTCTCTAGTACCTCAAAAGGCCCAAAATACCTTGGTGAAAGCTTTTATTTCCTTCTGTTGGCAACGATCCTCTGGTTGTAAGGTCGGAGTTTTAAGAACACCCTTTCCCCCATCTTAAATTGAATGCCCTTTCTATGTCCATCGACTTTTTTCTTCATAATAAGTTGGTTCCTCTATAAATGACTCTTCAATTCTTCCAACACCCAATCCCTTTCTTCCAAATACTCCTCTATTGAAGAACTGGGGTGCTTTTATGCCCAAAGTGCACCAAGTGTGGATGATCCCTTCCGTACAACACCTTGAATGGTGTACTCTAAGAAGCAAAATGATATGAAGTGTTGTATCAAAACTCTGTCTGTAAAACCCGAAAATGTCGATTCGGCCGAACGTAGGAGGCAGACAAGCAAGGGCGGACGGGAGGCGACGCAAGGCTCGGGAGTGCGGCTCCGACGATGGTTTCCCGCAGCCGGACTTGGGGGAAATCGAAGGGAGATTCAAGGAGCACTAAGGTATGTTTCTAAACCTAGAAATCTCTATCTTTACCATAGATTTTTGAGATGGAAAATTTATGGTTTGTATAAAATATTTGTATTTTTGAAGAAGAGTGATAGGGACGATTGAAGGTGTTTTATTAACAAAAAAATGTTATCCCAAATTTTAGTGAGTTTATAAAAAATTAGGGTTTTGAAAAATTTTGATTTCTATAAAATTTCTTAATGTATAATATTCCTATTGGTCTTAGGGAAGTTTTTAAGGGTGGGAATTATGAGTTTTCAATAAATATTATTTTTCTAATTTTTTAATTAAATTAAATCCGAAAATGGAAATCCCTAAATATTAATTTAATAATGAAAAGGTTTTGACAAAAAAATATAATGAAAATAATCAAAAATCATGTTTCCAAAAATTTGGATTTTAGGCAAACCCAAAAATAGAAATTAGTTTAAATAATTTTATGTTAGGGTGAAGGGTTAATTAGGTTAAAATAAGTAAATAGACCAAAATATGAGATTTTAGATTTTTTTATATGCCTTATGTTTTAAATGAGAAAGAGAGAAAGAACTTAGGGTAGATCAGGAAGAGAATGAGAACTTTAATTTAGATTTATTATGAAGAATTTTGAAGGAGAAATTAATGTTTATAGGTGATTAATCGTGGTGACCTTGAAGAAAGGTAGTGTAAGAAAAAATCCGGGGGAACCCCTGATTTTTGCTTAACAAAAGAAAACTCTACTAGGTAATAGAAGAGACACAAATAACACA